CAGCAGGAAGTGTTCTCTTCCTTTCACCTGCTTACAGGTTGCTGGTCCTCTGCCACCTCCCCTCACCACCTCCCTGCTGCCCAGGTTCACCAAAGTCGTTCGGGTGACTGTCCTCTGTCCTCGCTGTGCCCTCCTCTGGTCTCCCGTGGACGTAGACACTCCTCCCAAGGTGTTCTGCACTGACCGCTGGAAGCTGTGGTTTCAGCAAGGCGGGGTGGCCAGGGCCTGTGACGCAGGCCCTCCCAGCACACAGCCCAGAATAGCCTCAGCTCTGCTGCGTTCCCAGCCACCCTATCACTTTGCAAACTGGGCTCTAATTTGCTGTCCACCCTCTCCACCCCAGTCTCTCAGCCAGCACCACTTTCTTTGCCCATGAAATATTTATAATCACAGATTATGTTTCCCTGTGAGTATAAAATTGCTTTTGTTTTTTTCCCCTTCCATGCCCTTAAGCAGCTGCCCCAGGCAGGTCAAAGGACCTCCTCCAAGTTCCCTGACTCCATCACGGAGTCTTTGCTGAAGCGTCCAGCCCCACCCGTGCTTTGACTCTGTCTGCAAGACCACTGCCGAAGAAAGCTGGTGTGAAGAGCGCAAGATCAGTGCTGGGGGTTGGGAGGCCTGGGTCCCACTCGCCCTGCTGCTGTCCGTGTGACTTGGGGCAAGCCGCAGCCTCTGGGGAAGCTGGAGCTTACAGCCTGAGGTTTGGCACTCTGGGGCCCCAGCACTGAATACAGCCCTCACCCCAGCCACCTGCAAACGAGTGCCCTTGGTTGCAGATGGAGACCTGACTAAAACGTGCAGATGCCGTCCTACCGTGGCCAGCCCTCCTGAAGCCAAACACCTGTGACAGGGTTCCAGGCCACTTCCCGTGTGACAGGCATATGGCCATGGTCAGGCAGAATTCACCTGAGGTACGCCTCTACCTGTCAGAATGAGGGGAGCCTGTCCCTTCACAGGGAGCCCTGCGCTGCGTTGGGGTCCCTCACCCAAGCTAGGCCTCCCGCTTCTGTCACCTCCCTTGACCCCTTCTCACACTCTCCTCCTTTCTCAGCGGCTGGGCACTCTTGTTTTTGACGAAAATTGCATGGTATGGGAATGCTGAACTGAAATTCAAATCTGTCACGGGAGCTGCGTTTCTGTTCCTCCTTTATTTTGTAATTCCATCT